GTGCCTTTGCGTGTGTGTGTAGTACATACAGAAAACGCATGTGCGTGTGTGTGCTTTCGACAAGTGTTTATTCCACATTTCCTCTAAAGAAAGGGCGGTGCCTGCGACCTCCTCCTTCCTCAATCTCTTTGCGAGAAGACTTGTTTCCGCGCTGTCCGTCTGTCCCGACACTGACCCTTATGCTGAATTTTACACTGACCTTTCAAGTCATTTTGATCCCGAATGGCTTCCCGGTCCGGCTCCTAAAGGTTCCTCGTCTGCGTCCAGGACCCTTGTGTGGCATCAGCTGCCCTTCCCTGAACCTGAACTTCATGAGCGCTGCATACTGCGGACATCCCATGGTCATCATCAGCGTAAACAAGACCAGAGATCCTACATGGAGTTACTTCGACTTCTCTGCCCTGGTCTCTAGGCACACAGGTCAGTGGCCTTGTCTTGAATCTGTTGACAAATGGTTAGCAGAGATTTTTCATGTTCATTTTAGCTCTTGAGAAATGATTTAGAAAAGGAGTCCTCAGTCATGCTTGAGCTCTTCCCATGGTTAGAAATCAACAAGGCTCAATATTCTTTCATTACCTTGCCATGGCTGCTTCTGACCCTGGTACGCTGACCTTTTTCGGAATGTTCCTTGCAGCGAGTGGTCCGCCGGAAGACGTCCCCACTGCACTCGCCAGCCCAAGCAGCATCTCAACGGTCGACGGGGATAAAACCAGTAAGACCTTTCCCTTACTCGTGTGCGCCAGAGAAGGTATGTTGAGGAGACCGGCCAAGGGTATCTTTGGTTTTGAATGTGACTTGGGTTGCTGGCAAAACCCAACTGTCGTTGCGTAGACCGGCCAAGGGTATCTCGTTTTTAAGTGACTCTGACGAAGGCGAAATCCAACCGTTGTTCCACGAAACCGCCTACCACCGTGGACATCTGCGTGGCCTCCCCTCTCTTTGGGTTTGGGCCAGAATGGCGCAATCGAGGTTCATAAAAAGGTTAAAAGTAATAATACAAGGGACTTTTCCTTCTTTTTTACGGAATGGCACTTTATTGAGGTTGAGGAATGCACACGGTCCCCATATGGTACTTATTCTTCTTTTTGAGGGTGTTTGGAAATATATTGACGCAGAATTGTATTTCCGTTCATTATTTCTGAGGTAAGAGAATGTGAAGGGGATTTTTGAGTGAACATCAGCCAGTGTTTGCAATGTTTGCCTCGGCTTCGTGTGTGGAAAGGGCCACCTACAGCCCTCCAGCATCTCCGAGCTTGCAAGTTCGTCGGCAGTAAGATCGATAATCCTTTCTCTCAGTAGATCTACATTTTTTTTATTCAGATTTCAGATTTTCAGGTTCTGCGCCTCCCTTAGGCAAAGTTACAGATTTTGCGATGTCTCGGCTTGGATTCCTGGTCGCAGCCAAAAGAAATATATCCTCTCCGTCCAGGTAAGCGGTTATATATATATCCACCTCTAAGAGTTGCGACTGTGATCTTATTGAATTTACTTCAAACTGATATTTACACAAAATGAACTGCATTCTGATATACGGATTTTCTCATATGCTTACCCTACTTACCAACTACTTACCGACTTCCAAAGAGTTCCTTTTTAGGATTTCATTCGCCAACAGCTCATAGGATCTGAGCCACTCCCAAATCTGCGCCGAGATACACCCCGCTGAATGAAAGCCAACGCCCGCGGCACTGGAGGTAACTTAATAATGGTATATGTGAATGACTGTCCTTTAAGCTGATAATGGCAGACATGGTGCGGTCAAAGGAAAGGGGGAAGATAGTGACACAACACGATCTTGTGCAGGACACTCGCCGGTATCGAACAAGCTTGACAAATCCCACATAGGATACGGTTTCCACTTCATCTTTGAATGAGTTTATGCTTATCTTGGCGCGCACCACTGACCACAAAGCTGCGTTTAGAAGGAAATGTTTGATAGTGTCATGAGTGATGGTGAAATAAGGACGGAGGATACACTTGAATATTCTGATGACCACTGGGACATACGCACGGGGAAGTTCACCACACAATAGTTCCTGATAATGGTGCTAGTTATGGTGGCATTCGATCCTGATTGTGGAAGAGAATAGAGAATACCATAGGTGATCGGATTATTTTCTTTATATTTGTTTCTTTATCTATTCATTCATTCGTCTTTAACATGAGGATTTTTTTCATTGCCTTTCCAGCTTCACATCGATGTCTCCTGCGGTCAAGGCGAAAGGGCGAGACCGCTGTGGGTGGCGTCAGAAAATCTTGCTGACACTGACCTTGATGGTGACCTGTGCTGACCGTTGACCCGAACTGAGGTATTCAAAGAAGTCAGTTTTGAGGACTAAGCTTTGGGGTTTAACTATTGAAAGAAAAAAATGGGGACCTACTGAGTAAACATGTTTTACTAGTATTTCAGAAAGGTGAAGTGAAAGCTTCAAACCTTTCACTGAGTAAAAACAAATGAAAACATGAAACAAAAACATTTCCTCTAATGCCTCTTGACCTCGCTCCTTTTTGCATAAGGTTTTCACTCAATCTCTCATTTCCTCTAGCTGTGTGTGTCAGTCGTTTTGGCAATCTGTGGTTTCTGCGTTTCAGATGGAGACGATTTCCTGAGGTGCGCATTCAGTCGTCAGCACGGAGGCGCAGAGGCAGTCACGGGGCGGGAAGTCCTCTGCGAAACGAAGACCCAGTCAGGGAACGTCAAGTGATGTCACAGATGTCCCGAGAAGGTCATCACAAGTGGACGACTCTACACACTCTTCGTCGCGCCATGACCTCGGGGACTGGCTCTGTTAGGGACATCTGAGAGGTTTTTTCCACTCGCCGGCCAAAGGTTGCTTGGAGGCGACTGGAATCTGCAACGCGACGCAGGTTCCCGCCACCTCCTTGCCACTGTGGGCGCGGAGTTTTTTTCCCTGTCCAGCGGAGCCCTGTCCAGTTTTTGTCCCTGTCCAGCGGCCAGATCGGCACCAACACGAGGCGCTGCGTCGTTGCCATGAAAAGCTCGGAAACAGCACAGATATTTCGAATGCTGCGTTCCGTTGATTTGTTGCCTTCTCCGTCCTAATTAAGTAAACGGCACTAATGGCGCTTTACTTAATTATGATGCTTATTTCATGCGTGGTCCTCTGTTATATGCGATACCATATCGTCGCTATGTGTCACTAATGGATCATCCGCCATCAGTCTTCAAGAAACGAGCAATAAATGTGGCTTCACGCAGAGTTTGTTTCCTTGTCACCAGAAGCGCGGGTTTAGTGAGCGAATGTGCGTGTGTGTGTTGGTATATAGATGGAAAAAGAGACAGATTGAGATCATGCATTTGTATGTGTATAAGTATGTGTATGTATATATATACACATTACATGTACATATAGATAGATAGATAAATAGATATAGGTTCATGTACATATACAAAGACATTCATACATACATCTATATATATATATTATATATATATATATATATATATATATATATCTATATAGCCTTCCTCTTTTAAATCCGTTGTCGGACATAAGCCTTGCCCTGACTTTTCACGTCGTTCAGTCTACAGTCTTCAGGTATATATGTATATATATATATATATATATATATATATATATATATATATATATATATATATATATATATATGTATGTATGTATGTATGTATGTATATATTATATATATGCATATGTATGTTTATAAATATGCATATATTTATAAACATATATATAAACATATATATGTACATATGTAAATATGTATGTATATATGCATAGACGTGTGTATCGGTGTTGGCGCTTGTTGGTATCTGAACTCGACACAAAAATAACTTTTTAAGCAGCGCGTGATTACCGCATGCGAGGCGCCAGGAAATCAGAGACAGATAAACACGCGAGACTCGGCAGGCTTTATCTTCGTAATGAGCATCAACTAATGATCTGATTTGCTCTCCAATTATGATGAATAAAAATATGCTTATCTTACACACACACACACACACACACACACACACACACACACACACACACACACACACACACACACACATACACATATATATATATATATATATATATATATATATATATATATATATATATATATATATATATATATATATGTAAAATATATATATACTATATAGATATATATATATATATATATATATATATATATATATATATATATATATATATGTATGTATATATATACATATATATATATATATATATATATATATATATATATATATATATATATATATATATATTCATGTATATACATATAGATAGATAGAGAGATAGATAGATATACATATATCTCATACATATGCAGAATATGTATTATATATACAGTATATATATTATATATGTATATATATATATATATATATATATATATATATATATTATATATATGTATGCATACATATTAGATATATGTATATGTATAGATAGATAGATAGATAGATAGATACATACATACATACATACACACACACACACACACACACACACACACACACACACACATATATATATATATATATATATATATATATATATATATGGGGAGAGAGAGACATATATGTACATATATGTAAATATGTATGCATGCATGGACGTGTGTATCTCAGTGGGCGTTTGCTGGTATCTGAACTTGAAACAAAAATAACTTTTTAAGCAGCGCGTGATTTCCGCATGTGAGGAGGTGCCCCAGGAAATCAGATACGATAAACACACAAAAATCGACAAGTTTTATCTTCGTAATGAGCATCAACTAATGATCTCGTCTGCTCTCCAATTATGATGAATAAAAAATCTGCTTATCTTTTAGGAATAAAGGGTTGTGCCTGCCCCAGCAACTGTCAGTCACAGGCAGCGCAGCGTTGGGTCAAGCCGCAGCAGTCAGGATGGCCGATCTCAGGATCCTCCTCCTGGTCAGCCTGCTCTCTCTGCCCCGGGTCAAGGTAGGTCCCGTGTGCCATTCATGTCGAACAGATTGCAAAAGGAACA